ATATTTTGGATTCTGGCAAAAATATAAAGAAATTGAGATTCTTGTTACATTTCGTTGCCATTCCATCGATAGCTACGCCGCATATCAAAATCAACCTACGCTGTTTTTAGGTAGAGCTGTCGGTATCAACTAATTGTACAGAGAATTGTATAAACGTCGCTAGTTTTAAATCTGCTATTCATCTTATTTAATACATATTACCGGGCATTCCGATTTGATCCGAATGTTACAAGGACGCTTATTGGAACCCCACTAAATCATCATGTTGTTTCTTCTTTGTTTTCATACACCTTATTGACTTTGGCAAAAACATATAAAAACAATATGAAAACCTTTGTCCCCTTATCACTATTTTGTGTTCTACCGAGACAAATCTCAGGTTTTCAGTACCTACGTGAATCATTTTATGTGGACGACATATTTGTTTTGCACGGCGCAAGTCTCACCGGCGCCATCTATGTGTTTATCGCATCGTTGTTTATAATGGTTATTGTTTAGGGGGAAGATATCTCAGCACGATTTATTTATTATTGCACAAGGGTACGTAAACAAATATCAGAGGGCGTTTTCTCTTAGTCAACATCTGAGCTTAGAAGGTAAAATGAAAAAAAATTGACATACCTACCTAGAGTTTTGATTTAAATAGACATAATATTAATGAATCGTGTTTATATGATTTTTCCATCATAATATACAACTATTTTTATTATGTTCTTTTCTAAGGAAAATGAAATGTAGAGCTCAGAAATTTCTACTACGTAGGTACCTACTGATATTTTTTTATTGCAAAATATAAAATAATTTAAAAAAATACAAACGCCAGTATGTACAGCCCAAAACACAAGTAACACACCTAACTTATCCCCACTAATAAAAGCACCGATAAAAATATCTACCAACAACACCGAACTAAATTTGCCAGCCTTAAGCCCACACGCTGTACATAAATTAGCCAGCCTATCTATGTGTGCGAGTGGTTCATGTGTGCGCGCCTCCCCATCCCCTTGTATGTAGGTCAGAGGAAGCTGCGGGGGCGGCGGCGGGGGGAGGGGGCGCCCATCTCTGTTGCGCCTGTATCGATCCCGCCGCGCGGCCATAAAAAAACTTTTTTGACGGCTCTTGACGAAATACGTTAATAGGACCCGTTCCTTTGTTCTCTCAAGGGACAGTACCTAGCTCCGACTTTGAGATGTCCAGTTTTCTTATTAGTTATTTATGCTCGTGCTGCGCGTCATTTGTTACTTAACTACCTGCCTGTGTATGTACTTTTTTTCATTTAAGATATGAAATGCGTGGTGCCAGACCGAAGTCGTAATGAGAAGCTAGTCGGTCATGTTTAGTATTAGGGAGAAAATTTATGTTATTTCAAAAAAAAGTTGTTTGATGATTTTTAAATAAGTTTAAAAAGATCAAAACTTCAAAATAATCCGTTTTTAAATTAAGAAGATCAATCTTCAAAATAATCAGTCATATATCCACACAAATGTCAGAAATACCATTTCTTTTCCTTATAAAGCTTCAGATAGTTAGTTTAGTATTAGAGTGAGCTTTCATACAAATACTCTTTTCAGGTTACCGCGGTGACTTGAAAATCTATTCCCATTTTTTTATTACTAGGTTTACTATACAGGGTGTCCCGTAATGTAACGTCAAGCCGGAACTAGGTGTTGAGGCAAGTTGTGCTGGTTATCAGAAAAATATAAAAAAAAATCTATGTGGCATATTTTAAAAATAATAGGCATTTAAAAAAAATCAAAAAATTGTACTCCAGGTGACGGTCCTTTTACTCGTGTTGCCACAAATCTTCACTTTTTCCAAATTTTTTTTTTGTTATGTAACCCTGAATAATGCTTCTCTAAATTGTTATCAAAATTACAAAACCAGCTGCTCCAGCTTGGATGAAAAAAATACATTATTCTCAAANAACTATCGCCATTATTTTTCAAAAAATCAAAATTCGAAAAACTGGCCTAAGTACAACAGGTTCCCCTACTTATTCCAGATTCCAGTAAATGTACAGGTTTGAGAGTCACAAAGCCTAATTTTTTTAAATATTTATTAGTCATCAATGTTATAAGTATCATAGACTCAGGAACTAAGAGACAGGAATATGATGTTTTATATTTTGATGAAACGAAAGCTAAAGTTGCTTACCATTTTAAACACTTTTTTTCAGTTTCGTAGCCAACCCTCGAGCTAACTCCCAGTTCCAAATAGCATACATCAAGACCCACACCAGGGCGGCTGCGTACATCATCGGATTCTTTGCTGGGGGCTACTTTGCCAGTAAGAAGAAAAATAATATCGTACTATCAAAGGTTAGTATCAAACTTGAATTCTTTTTTGTAGGAGGAAAGTTTCATAGGTATTCAAACTATTTCCTGTTTTACGCGAAGGTAGTAAGGTACGAAGACCTTGTTTTATTTATCTCCTTTCCATCAGGGCTGGGCTGAAAAAATAGATACTTTGGGATTTTTTATCCACAGTTAAAATTTTATCATCATCATTTCAGCCATAGGAAGTCCACTGCTGAAGGCCTCCCCCAACATCCAATAATTAAACCTTTGGTTGAATGAAATCTTGCCGTTTTACCATCTGTAAACCACTGCCTAAATCATTTTTTAAATTCTTTTTTATTTGATGAATGACTTTTCACAAAGACATGTCAGTCATATTGTACCTACATTAATATTATACACCTACTATTACATTGTTATTATTGGGGTGCTTTTTCTTATGGAACTTGATAGATTTATTGATTAAAAAAATATCTCTAGAATTAGTGGTTAGTTAGTTAGTTAGTTTTGCAGGGCAATCGAATACCGCACTTAGCCTCATGATAGGGCCGTTGTGCGCGATTTGTGGTTTATCTTCCTACTCCAACCACCCCAGATCCCCCCAGAAGGCGAGCAGCCCGTCCAGGCTGCTGCAGGCTTCCTGTAGCGACGACGGTGATCGAAGAAATTGAGCCCGTTGTTCTTCCACGCTACTGCACTCCATGAGCACATGCTGCGGTGTTTCCTCTAGAATTAGTGGTACTAGCGCCACCACCACGACAGTTCACGAAAATTGCCTTTTGCCCGTTTTCACCATCAATCCCTAATTTTTAAGTGACCTCTATGTAACCAAAATTCCTGTTATTTCTTACCATAAGGGTCAGGGTAAGGGTTGTAATTAGGGATTGATGGTGAAAACGGGCATTATTTTCTTAAAATTACTTAAAAAAACCTTACCAGAAACGCTCAGTGACCGGCGCGTGCGCAGCCACAGTTATCATGTTACTGGTCATGGTGATCGGGACGTCATACCTGTGGCGCAGCTACTCGCCGACAGAGGGCGCGCTGTACGCCGCCGCCAACCGCCCCGTGTGGGCCATTGGTGTGGTTCTACTGATACTGTGCTGCTCTTTTGGTGACGTCCGTAAGTACCTACTTAATTCGCAAATAGGGATGTTTCCTGGGTCAAAAAGCAAGAGTTTTAATTAGTCCGTCAGTTAACTTATCAAAAAATACTCTACACGTATTTTTAAACTAATGAAAATTTAAAGAGATAAAGCGCGCCAAAGTTTATAAGAAGAGGCCCGTGACGTCAATGCGTTCATAAAAGTGCCGCACGTTGTGACGTCGTGCGGAACTTCAACGCACCATAACTATGTAATTATTTGTTAGATTGACAAATAAAAATATATGTGTCCAATATTTTTTGATATTAAACATGACGGACTAAAAAAATTTTTTTAGGAAACTTGCCTATTATATTATTCACCTATAGGTACTACAGGCAATACAGGCTCTTTCAGAACCTACTTCAGGCACCAGTCTTCACAATACGGGTATATGCTATACCAACGCACCAATTAGCACAGTATTGATACGAATGGTACCTACTTGCTCATATACAAAATAATGTATCACATACGAATGTTACACTATGGTATCTTTCCTGTGTGCTTACCATGAGTTTACGTTAGGTGTGCTCGCTAGCGACTGCGTAAAAAAATGACATTTAATTGTATGACATATTGTGCAGCGCCCCTAGTGGCTACTTTCAAGAAACAAAATCTTCATAGAGATTATTGACGTACTCGCTAGCGAGCACACCTAACGTAAACTCATGGTAGGTACACTGATGTGCTGTCGTGTGTAGTACCTAAAATATTGTCTCAGTACTTGCGCCCATTACTATAATATTTTTATTTTTTAAATTTTACTACATACTATAGATATAAAGAGCGCGGCGGTGATATTTATAATCGTAACTACATAATTAGAACACTTTATATGCAGTACACTGTGTGGCCTATAATATGTCCAGTATAAAAAATCATTAAATTTAAAATTACATTATTAAAATCATCTCTATTATCGTGAGTTAATTATAATAAGTTATCTACGAAAATGCTACGAACGTAGTTTGTAGCGTAAACGATGTCTAGTAGATTCGTAGCACATTCGTAGGCCTCGTAGCACGTAAATTATAGTTTTTCGAGGGTTTTTACGATGGTACAAATCTTAAATTTTAATCACCTTATTTTTTTAACACTACATGGCAGTTCAGAAACAGTATAGTATTTTATTTAAAATGGGTGCATTTTCCCTTTAAACGATGACTAAAATTCCCATAAATCTAATGCAGTCTTCAATATAAATTGTAATGTGACATGCAATAAACGTTTTGAATTTCAATTTGAGTTTGAAAATTGTAAAGTACGGCCAACTAGCAGCGATACAAAAGGTCGATACGACTGTCGAGTTGACAATATATTCTGTCTCTTCCCATCTTGTGTATTTGTCGTAATGTCTCGTTCTCTCGCCAAAATATGTCAAAGTCAGACGGGTTCACCCATGCCATAATGCATGACATTGGGTTTGTTTACATTTGGTATCGCTTCTCGTTGGCCGTAGGTACTTTAGTTCAAATCTTCCATTTTCCTTTTGTAAATGAGTCGTGTTCCTGTAGTGGAGACTGACTGTCCTGCTAATAACGATGGCTTGTTCCAGCGCTGCTGAAGAGCTTCCTCTGCTGGTACCCGTGGGTGCCGCTGAGCCGGCTGGCCTACGGGCTGTACCTCACGCACACTGTGCTCATCATCAGAAACGTCGGCATTGCTAGGAACCCGGTCTACTACGACAACTTGTCTGTTGTAAGTTTCAGCTGGTTTCAGCAATAAACACACTTAGGCCCGATTCGACCAAACAAGAGTAAATAATAATCTCAGAATAAATCGTCAGTTTTGACATAAGATTTCCCATAGTGAAACTGTCAATGTGCCAGTTATACCAGTTATACCTGCCCCCCTAGACAAAACGCACTTTTTGATCGAATCGAAAATCGAATCCGTCAAAACTCGATACAAGAAAGGGGCTTTTCGACCACTTATCGACTGGTTTGCGATTATAATTTGCACTTTGTCTAGACCCACAGGCCCCTTAGACAAAACGCACTTTTTGAACGAATCGAAAATCGAATCCGTCAAAACTCCATACAAAAAAGGGGCTTTTCGACCACTTTGCGACTAGTTTGCGATTATAATTTGCATTTTGTCTAGACCCACAGGAGTTATTCTCCGATAAAAGTTTGGTCGAATCGGGCCTTATTCTTTTAAAACACAGGTAAAACATAAAACATCTCCACGAAACTGAAAAAGAAATCCCATCAAAAACAATACTTGTCAAAAAAACCAAGTCTCGCAACTCAGTTGTTCTACGGTAAAAAGTTGTGAGATCCATGTAAATACCAAGTCCAGGCCAGGAAATCTTTAACGTTTTACATAAATATATTGACTTGGCCATCGCACTAAATAATTTAATTTACACGTGTTTTCATGCGATGGCCAAGTCAATATATTTATGTAAAACGTTAAAGATTTCCTGGCCTGGACTTGGTATTACATGGATCTCACAACTTTTTACCGTAGAACAACTGAGTTGCGAGACTTGGTTTTTTTGACAAGTATTGTTTTTGATGGGATCTCATTTCTTTTTGTATTTTGTAGACAGCAGTTATGTATCTAGAAAACTGGACCGAAATTGAAAAATTTTACTCGACTTGGCGGTTGCATTACCGTGCCCCCAAATATTTTAGTTTTTCCTTGATTCATACACCAAACTCTACTTATATTCCAAATTTGAAGCTTCTAGGTCTGCTAGAAGTGCCTAGAATTTTGATGATCGGTGAGTCAGTCAGTGAGTCAGTGAGTGACAAAATTAAGTAACTTTGACCCGTTATAATTCTTAAACTACTGGTTCAAATTGAATGAAATTTGAAATATACCGTGTCTTTACAATGCCTGCATAGCTAATGAAAATTCAGCCTTCTATTTTTATCCACAACGAAGTTACAGGCGGTCGAAAATGGCCTGAATTGCTTCGGGAAAAGGATGGTACGGCCGTGCCGCTTTTTTGCTCGACTTGGTGGGGGCACTGCCGTGCCCCCAGATTTGAAATTGAGACACTACAAATTGTTATAGAAATTATAAAAATAATGAATGAGAAAACTACGAGGGTAAGATGAAAGTTGTATAATTTATAGATTCCTTGACCATTAACAGATTATCAGGTTGTTCAAACATTTTAACTATAATTTTAGCATTGTTTCACACTTGAGACTAATATTTAAAACATATCACGACACTTATCTTGCTAGATCCTCCACCATCCTCAACAAAAGCTTTTGTTTCAATTACACATAGAAAAACAAAGCTTGTGTATAGAGAGAACACTGATATAAATGTATTTACTCATATTTTTGCCGTTTTCAGTTCATGTCATCATTGAGTGTGATTTGTCTGGGGACCTTCTGCGCGTTCATCATCTGGCTCTTGGCGGAGGCTCCTGTCAACAACCTTTTCATGCTGTGCCTCAAACCTAGGTAACTTTTCAAGTTAACTATGCCTACTTTTACTTATTTATTTTATGAGCGATTACGCGCTGCATCCTATACGAGTAACATACTATGTACTAACTACTATTTCGTCGGACAAACATAATACAGGAATGCAGTGCAGTCAAACGCCCTTAAAAAATGTTAGAGTCTATTTCAAAATAATTGGTATAGGGTGACCACACATTTTTATGAGTGCAAAATGAAACTCTTATTATTGTTTAAAAATATTCAGTTCATAATTGATACGACGTGCATGACATTTTATGGGCCTTTCTGTTTCCAAGTAATTTGTGGCCAATATCTACAGATCAAAACCCAATATAACCATAATATTGAAAAAACGAAATCGTAATTTCTTTCAGAAAGAGACGCATCTCGAATGATGGAGAAAACACAATCGAAAGGCCAGAAACCAGTTCGGGTAAAACAGGAAACTTCAATGTTGGATACCTACAAGAAAATTTAAAGGAAAATTTGAGCATTTCCTCTAAAATGTAAAATAGCACCTACTGGAACTGTTGAGGATATTGTAGCATAAACATTAATTAATGTTAAGTAATACTTAAGTTAGTATAAATAAGTACTTGCAAAAAAGAAGGTACAGTAAGTAAGGTCTAAAATAAAGCTTTAAGATTTTTTGTTACTTTTTTCGTGTTTTATTTTAAACTTTCGAACGCTCTCTATTTTAATCGAATTTAGTAGTGTTATTAACTGTGCTCTTGTACAATTTAATATTGTTTCAAAATCTGAAACACATAATCCTTCTTTAAAACAGTCGGGTAATAAGGCGTCGAAAAAGCGTCATCTATAAAATCTCCCTCACATTATTTTCACCGCGCACACGTTTCTGAATGTAAACGAAACAAACGCCCTTCGTTTCTGTACTTGGCAATGAAACGCCATTTAGTTCCATAAGAAACACACAGATGGCGCTAACATGTTCTTATTGTAAATAAAAAGAAATTTTTTTTCCATGTTTAGATGAATTGATGGTTACCCCAAATATTTTAGAAATAATGAAAAGAAGAGAGAAAATCTATGATTATTAAGGTGCATTTTAAAGCAATGCAGATGTAAACCATTCTTCAAATAATCAAACTGGACTGAAAAACCATGAAAAACCTGAAACTTTACGTGCCTTAAAATATTTTATTTGACAAACAAATAGTTTTCTCGTAATGTAGTTTATCTTTGTTTTCGTAATTCAAGGTTCAACTTAATTTAAATAAATAAACCATTCATTATTATGTACAAAAATAAGAAATAGGCTTAGGTAGATACGAGTAACTTTACATAGGGTAAGTGCGCTAGTTTTCGTCCAATTATCGGAGTTGCCAACTTTGTGATGCGAAATGAATATCTTAAAATACCCTTACTCATATGTATCATATGTCATTTTAGTCCTTATATAGTCTACTTTACGTTAATATTATATGGCAATAAGTAAATACCACGGGTTTTTTTATAAAAAATATTTTATGCAAAAGAGGCGATTTCACTAGTTTTCGTCCAAAAAAATCAGTTTTCGTCCTAGTGTACGCTAGTTTTCGACCACTGTGTAGAAAAAAGGGTGCAGTTGAATTATTAACTTAAAACCAATTCTATAATACAGTAACTCTGGATTGTGGTATATCATTTGAAAGGTAATTTTGTTAGCTTTTAAATGATATCAAAAAGATTTAAATAAGTTTCTTACCTAAATTTAGGAAAATATTGCAATAGGTCGAAGGACAAATGGACGAAAACTAATCTACAGGAATAGCTAATTTTGGTTTTCGTCCACCCCAGTGCTTGCTCATGACGTCATGGACGAAAAGACAACAACGTTTAAAGCTGTTTTTTGTTTTCGTCCACATCTTTTTAACGGTTTTTATGGGTTTATCACTGTTAAAAAGTGGACGTAAACTAAAATGTTTAATGTAATAGCAATAAAGATCATATTGGAAGAAAAAACATTGTATTTTGTAGGTCCATTGAAGTAAAATGATTATTAAAAATATTAACTAGGTGTCAGGGTTTCCGTCCACGTGGACGAAAACCAAAATCTTGCAAAATTGTTATGCTAGTATTAGTCCACTTAATTATCTAAGATTTCTATACAAAAACTTTAATAAACCCTTAAAATAGTGTTTATTATGCTAATAATTAGACATACGTGCCAAAAACATTACGTAAAGTAGCTAAAACAGTAATTAAACATACCATGAAAGTTCCCTACCGGCACGTTTTTTTTCTAACTTGACGACGTTTTCCATTCACCTGTGTGCAGCAGCAACTTCCGTAGATTTTTTTGGAGTTATTACTTGTCAAATTACATTTTCATGCAGGCAGAACTGTTATTTAGATATTATAGATTGTAACAAGTCCAAACTTGCATGGAAAGTTAGGTTTGTATTCTAATTTTCCGTATTTGTTTGTGGCAAGTCGGTCAAATGGACGAAAACAGGAGCTGGACGGAAAACCGGCGCAATTACCCTACCTTGCCTAATGTTGACTACATTTATTCATCCAAATAATTACTTACATGATGACGATTTAAATGGTTAATTTTGGTTTATGGGTCATGGTGTTTTTATGTGATTGATGAAATTGAACCTTGCCCTACAATGCCCTTAAAGTACGGAGTACTTTAGTAATGTTGTTATTTCCTAATAGGTAAGTACTAGGGTAGGCACAAGTTGTAAGTCCACTTGAATGTCACATTTTGGTGAATTTTCCTATAAATAAATCTTTCTAGAAGAATCTTTGAAGAGTCTCTATCCCCAAGATCTATTTTACAATACTTTGTCTCTACCTCATCGTCAACTTTTGTAGAGTGGCATAAAACATTTAGCTATCCCTTTGATTAGGTTCCTTAAAAAGGAAACATGGTGTATTAGATCCTTTACCCATACAATCATTTGCTACAGGAAACTAACTTTGTCTCTAACTAATAGTAATTTTTTTGTAGAGCAGCATATTTTAACTATCTGCTGTGTCTATTCTTTGGTTTCTAATCATGAAAAGGATTAATGATTTGCATTAGATCTGGTATTCATATTTGATTTATTCCTGAAAGGTAGGCTAGAAGCTCATCAAAAGGTGTAAATTCCTTTATGATAAGGCATCAATATGGTGGCCCTAAGGTAAATCTGGAATTCTGGCTTCAGTTCCAGCGGAGCGCGACTGTTTGGCAACATAACAGCAGCCAACGCCGCGGCACATAATGACATAATTGGCGGGGAGCGGGCGCGGGGCGAGGGGCGCATGCGCGCGTTTGACGGCCAAGGTCGAGGCCGCGCGATTCTGCCGCGCGCCGCCGCGTCGGCTGGTCCCTCGCCTTCTCGCTGGCTCTCACAAAACAACTTATGGGCCCCAAATGCGCAGTAAACGCCGCGAGTGACCCCGCAACAACACCCTGGACCCCCCATCATCAGCACAGGTAATCACCAAAACAAAAAAAGCAAACTCCACAATACCACATCGATCTGTTGTGTAATGTTTGTAATCACGCCCGCTACCTATATCTGCGCCGATTAGTGCTTTGCCGATAAATTTATTAACTGCGGAACGAGCTCGCAGTACGAATGCTGCTTACGAGTGTTGAACAAAATGGTTTGTTCATTACTCGCGAAATTGGTCGCCTCACCTTGCGCACTTCTTACCTACACGGATCACGTCATCGCGTTAGACGCTAATCGTCCGAGCAAACACCGCTGTTGGTGTACTTGTTGTACCTGAGTAGGAAATAATAACTTCAGTTTCGTTAAATGTTATAGCAAAACAGAGATGCCATGCCACCTGTTTTTTTCAGCGACTCTTTCAAACTCCTGCGTTAATAGATAAGTATGTTTGTTTTCGTGACGTTGCTACTTATATTTTGGATTCTGGCAAAAATATAAAGAAAATGAGATTCTTGTTACGTTTCGTTGCCATTTCATCGATAGCTACGCCGCATATCAAAATCAACCTACGCTGTTTTTTAGGTAGAGCTGTCGGTATCAACTAATTGTACAGAGATTTGTATAAACGTCGCTAGTTTTAAATCTGCTATTCATCTTATTTAATACATATTAACGGGCATTCCGATTTGATCCGAATGTTACAAGGATGCTTATTGGAACCCCACTAAATCATTATGTTGTTTCTTCTTTGTTTTCATACACCTTATTGACTTTGGCAAAAACATATAAAAACAATATGAAAACCTTTGTCCCCTTATCACTATTTTGTGTTCTACCGAGACAAATCTCAGGTTTTCAGTAGGTACGTGAATCATTTTATGTGGACGACATATTTGTTTTGCACGGCGCAAGTCTCACCGGCGCCATCTATGTGTTTATCGCATCGTTGTTTATAATGGTTATTGTTTAGGGGAAAGATGTCTCAGTACGATTTATTTATTATTGCACATGAATGGGTACGTAAACAAATGTCAGAGGGCGTTTTCTCTTAGTCAACATCTGAGCTTAGAAGGTAAAATGAAAAAAAAATTACATACCTACCTAGAGGTTTTGATTTAAATAGACATAATATTAATGAATCGTGTTTATATGATTTTTCCATCATAATATACAACTATTTTTATTATGTTCTTTTCTAAGGAAAATGAAATGTAGAGCTTAAAAATTTCTACTACGTAGGTACCTACTGATATTTTTTGTTGCAAAATATAAAATAATTTAAAAAAATACAAACGCCAGTATGTACAGCCCAAAACACAAGTAACACACCTAACTTATCCCCACTAATAAAAGCACCGACAAAAATATCTACCAACAACACCGAACTAAATTTGCCAGCCCTAAGCCCACACGCTGTACATAAATTAGCCAGCCTATCTATGTGTGCGAGTGGTTCATGTGTGCGCGCCTCCCCATCCCCTTGTATGTAGGTCAGGGGAAGCTGCGGAGGCGGCGGCGGGGGGAGGGGGCGCCCATCTCTGTTGCGCCTGTATCGATCCCGCCGCGCGGCCATAAAAAAACTTTTTTGACGGCTCTTGACGAAATACGTTAATAGGACCCGTTCCTTTGTTCTCTCAAGGGACAGACCTAGCTCCGACTTTGAGATGTCCAGTTTTCTTATTAGTTATTTATGCTCGTGCTGCGCGTCATTTGTTACTTAACTACCTGCCCGTATGTACTTATTTTTTTCATTTAAAATATGAAATGGGTGGCGCCAGACCGAAGTCGTTATGAGAAGCTAGTCGGTTATGTAAAGTATTACGGAGAAAATCTATGTTATTTCAAAAAAATTGTTTTATGATTTTTAATTAAGTTTAAAAAGATAAATCTTCAAAATAATCAGTCATATTCACACAAAAATCAGAAATAACCAGTTACACCGGTTCCTTTCCGTATAAAGCTTCATTGTATGTAGTTAGCTGGCTTAGTATCTAACTAGTTAGTAAGTAAGCTTTCCAAAAAAACCCTTTTCAGGTTACCCAGTGACTTTATTGCGTTTTAATGTATCTAATCTCATTTTTAAATTAAGGATATCTAAGAATTTTTCAGCTAAAAATAAAAAAAGTTAAAGTCAGATTTTTCATAAACAATCTAGAAGTCTGTCTGAACTACAGCTCCATCGACCCACTAGCACCGTCTGCAACGTCTCAGAAATTTTGC